CTGACCCTGTGACAAAGGGGGCCCGACAGAAGAGTCACTGAACCTGTGTGTCTACACAGTAAAGCCCTATTGTAACTTAGCACCCATGTCGGCTGCTTCGTGCCATCCACAGGGATGTAATTAGACAGCACATGGCTGGATTTCCACTGCCAACAGCACAATTCAATTACAGTGTTATCTGCAGATGGAGTCATGGGGACTAATGAGAAGGAAGATTAGATGGAAGGTTAACATCTGACTGCAAGCTGCAACAATGGTCTTTGTATTAGAAGCAAATCATTATTGACACTGGTCCAAGCGTCTCCACAGTCGCCTCCTCTCACAGACATCTAGGATTTTAGTATCTTCATACCTACAGCATACCCATGCAGATTTCAAGAACTCAAGTTTAGAAGGTTAACAGTTCTGCATTTTGCTTATGTGCAGTTCTTTTTGCATTAACAGAAACCAATTTTTATCTTGCAACTCCCCCCACACTGCCACTGATCACTCTGAGATGAACCTCATCGCCGAGGCTCTGTGGGGGCAGGCCTACTTGCCATCAGGACAAACTTCTCCAGTAGGGCAGTCCCACACTCCTCATCATGTATAACAACGACAATCATCAGTATTATCTCTATTAACTGAACAGCACTGGACCTTTTGATGGTGAAAGTAACATTAATACTAACATCAATAAAGCAGTGATACTGCAGATCAGCCAAGTGCTGACTAAGTACCAGGCACTAAGTACCTGATCATTATTAATTTAAACCTCACAACAAAAAGAGATAGATAACACTGACACCACTATTCCATTTACACAGAAACTGAGCTGCAGAAGGGTTAAAAACTGTCAAGGACACTACAGAGGAAGTAACTGGCTGAAGTGGAATTCAAAGCTCAGAAGTGGTGTAGGAGGCCCTTCTGTATTTGTGCTGATTTCATTGGTTGAATAAAGAAGATGCCTGGGCTTTTTGATAGGGCAGAATTTAGATAGGTGTGGAAGAGAGAACTGGATGCTGGGAGGAAGAAAACAGTGTGGCAGACGCCATGCTTCTCCTGCCCAAGACAGATCTAGATTAGACTCTTGCCAGTAAGTCACAATCACGTGGTGACATACAGATTATTAGAAATGGGTTGAAACAAGATGTAAGAATTAGCTAAGAAGAGGCTAGAGCTAGTGACCAGACAGTGATTTAATTAATACAATTTCCGTGTGGTTATTTCAGAGGTTAAGCTAGCCGGGTGGCGGGGACCAAGCTGCTCCTCCTTACAACACAGAAGCTTAGCTCCATATTAGTAATTACACAAGTTCTAAGCTCTTCGGTCCAAAAAGTTCCAGCCTTCTTGACAATGTGGATGGTATTTGCAAATCTTGAGTCCACATTTTAATAATTAGCGTCCTCCTCACTAAAGTATCACAGAGGTGCATGCCCTATAGACAGTAAAACATTCAATGCCGAGTGTGTCATATGCTGGTGTCAGCTAATTACAACCAAGAAACTGCTCATAGGATTTAGCAACTACCGAGTCTTCAAAACTAGTGAGTGATAGTTTTGAACAATAAACTCATCCAGAGGTTCAAGTCAAGAAAATGAAAGGAGAATTCAGAACGATGCCAGAGAGAAGACATATGCAGAAACAGGTATATGTCTCCTAACCAATGAAAGGATAAAGTAGTCACAAAAGCAGATAAAATATGAGCATACACTGTTTACCAAACAACTACTGTGTATTACAGGCTAATGGAGAGATGCCGAGGTACAGCCTCTGTCCTTCTGAAACTGGCATTCGGGTACAATAAAAAGAGCAATATAAATGAGCTATAAAGACATATAAACAAGGCAGGAGAGATGGCTCAGTACACAGTGTACTTGATTCCTCCTGCCTCCTGATTTCCCACACAGCACGTCAAAAACAGTCCTGTCGTTGACATTATTTAACTAGATCCAAGGCCTTGCCTGGGTTCAGGATCTGCAGGTAAGAATCTGGGGCAAGTGGAGGGGAAAGGGTATGACTTAGTATAGTATAACCTGGGGAAAACAGGAGAAACTCGTTTCTTCTTTTCTCAGGGCAAAGAGCCCTCTTTCTTTATCCTATGCCATAGCCCTCCATCCTGGCAGAGTGTATCTGCACAGACTTTCAGGGTTTCCCTCTGGAACAGTTGTGAGAGTTTTGTAGGAAGAAAAACCTAAGATTTTTCTGGGCAGGAGCATAGGGAGCAATAACTATGCAGACTATTTGATTTTGATCCTAGCTCTACAAATTGTCTTTGTGAAGATAGGAGCATCAGTTTCCTTATGTATAATGTGACTAAGAACAGCTCCCTCCTGAGGTGGGATATTACCCTCATACACCGCTTACACCAGTTCTTGTCACATATTAAGTACTATAAAATAAATGCTATTTGCCAAGACAGAGGCTTACTATGTAGCCCTGACTGGCCTGAAACTTGGAGTGATCCTCCTGCCTCAAATGCTGGAATTACAGGTGTAAGCCATCATATCTGGCTAAAATGTAAGCTTCTGATAAATTAAAAGAGGGGTAGAACATCTTTACCATGTTGAGTCTGTTCCTCAAAGGTCAGAGCCTGCTTCTCACTATGGAAGCCCTGTTCCGCCCACCCAGGTTGTATGGTTTCTGTTATATACGGTATGCACATTCAACCATGGACTTGCCCAGGGTCTCTAAGACTGACATATAGCCCTGACAAGTCTCTGCTTTTCTTTTTGCCCCGTATAGATTGTCTCACCCACAGGGCATCCAAGTCAGCCTAAGAATGGAGCTGAAGTCACTCTTTCCATAAATCTCTGATTCTCTCCTAGGCCTTCAGGACAGTCTCTGAAGTTCTCCCAATACCAGCCATTCCATAATATGATATGTCTTTTCTGCATCTGAGGCTGTGTCCCCTTTCCTTCCCCTGGAATATACACTGACTCTCCCCAGCCCATGACGCTTTCTGTGTCCTCTCCTGGACAGCAGTTCTACAGCTCTCCTCAGATTTCTAATAAAATGTCACCTGATTAAAAGACCTCACCTGGCTTTATCTAATACAGGAGGATTTTCCTGTGAGATGTTCATATTTCTTTTTTAAGTGTATATGTGTCCTCTGATGTTTTGAGACAGGATCTCTACTTAGCTTGCAACTCACCTATTAGGCTAGAGTAACTGGCTAGTGAGGCCCCAGGGTTCTCCTATCTCTACTTTCTCAATGCTGAAATTAATAAGCCAGAACCAACACATCTGGTTATTTTATATGGTTCTGAGGATTGAACTTTTGTCCTGATGTTTACCCCACACAAGATTACTTTCTGTAGGAAGCAGCATCTTCATCCCTCAAAAAATCAATATTGTCAAGACATCAGTTCTTGCTGTTTTGAGCAGAGGCAGGAATTGAATCCAGGACCTTGTACAGGCCAGACAAGTACTCTGTTATTCAGCTGCTTCCCTAGCTCCAAAGCAATATGAAGATCAACAAGTTCTCCTCTGTGTTTGGATAAATTGATTCTGAAGGAGAGAGATGGGTGAGGGAAGGAACACTGGCTCAAGACTCAGGCTGGCCAACGCAATGGTAACTAACAAAGTTGTAATACTAACACAATAAAAGCCGACTTTAAGGCTTACCGTAGAGCTACAGTAATCAATACACTGCGACACTAGTAAAGAACCGGACAGAAGCCTCAAAAATAGACCTACATAATTACGGTCAATAATCTTTGACAAAGAAACAAAGGCAATACAGTGTGGAAATAGTAACCATCTCACCCACCCCTTACAACCACCCATGAATCCTGCCAGGGGATCAGCCTCGGGCAGGGCTCAAATGTACTGACCTGTCAGTCACAGATAACCCCGAGGCTTTTATCTCAGTACAAGCAAGAGCTGCTAGATGAGGCTCGTTAAGTGCACTGCTAGGAAATCCACCTCTTGATGGTATCTTCTCAGTAAGTTATCACAAACCCTAACTTAGAACAAGACATCCCAAACTATGGAGACTTGGAAAAGCGGGACACTGGTCATAGCCGCTCAAGGACACTTCTGTTCACGGAGAAATTGAGAGCCCGCCAGATGACAGCTCGGTTGAGTTACAGTGGAGCCTGTAACATGAGGAAGCTGTAGGATACAACAGCCACCCTCACCCCAGGCTCCAACTCCAAGAACCCTCTGTGACTCAGATGTATTTCTGCAATGGGGAGAAGCAAACAACAGGAAAGAGGCAGTATCGGATGTCCTGAGCGCTTCCTGCAGTCAAGCCCCGTGCAGCCCTGTGCCTCTTTTCTCCATCTTCTCCAGCCACAGACTGCGCACAGTGGGGAGCACAGGCCTGAAGCAGCATACTCTGCAAATAGGGGCACTGAAGTGTGGCCAATAGGACAGAAAGAAAACCTGGGACCTTCTGGTAAGGTCTGCGATAACAGGCTTGTTACAATGAGTACGACTTCCTCATTACTCCTGTCAAAGAATCAATCAGCCAGAGCAGACCAACGGTAGACTTCCCCCAAGTATCCATAATTATACTGTAGCCTTTCTAAAGAAAGCTCCTACTGACTAATACTAAAAACCGAACCTTACGGTGAATTTAAAAAAATGATAGGAGAGAAAGAATGCCATAATCATGGTGTGAATCAAAACTGTCTGCTGTCTCGACACACTGAATGACAGCGAGGAAAATGAACAGATGCTGATTAGGGAACAAAGTCAGCTCAATTTCAAGCTTCAGTTCCACAGTAATAAGCCACGATGTGCTCTGAAAATTTTACAACAGAACCAATCTCACTGCACTCACACTGCCTCACAGTCAGGATCAAAACTGAAACAGAGTTCTGCATAGGCACTAGTGCACCCACAAAGGCCAACACAGACTCCTAAACTATCCCACCAGTGGGGGGGGGGGGGGGCATGTACATGTAAACTACTTAAATACTAGTCTAACGAAGGACTTTTCTCAAAGCCTACAAAAGGAACCGGGTCTGAGGCATGGGGGATGGTATATCAGTCCTAGGGACCCCTGAGCTTACCTGCAATGATCCCATCCATCTGCTCCAGGGCAGCTTCCAGTGCATGACTAGCATCAGAAGTCATGCCTCCTTTTGTCCACTTAGTCTCCTCTTGCTGCTACTGAAAATTCAAATACAGAACAAAGGAGAAATTACAGACGTCATGCAATATATGTGCAAGACCATGAAAGTGCTTTAGATCCATCCACATATATTTTTTCAGTGTTTAAAACAGTAACTTGACTGAGGTATCATTGATAAACAAAGAACTGCATATATTTAACGTATTCTGTCTGTTGTGTTTCAGCATATACAAAAACTTCATGACACCGTGACCAAACAATGGTAATAAACATAGCTAGCAACTTTAAAAGTTTTGTTTGTTTGTTTTGGGGCTAAGTGCAGTTACAATGAATGAGAAAGCTACTTTTTCTACAAATGCCTATGTGTGGAATACAGTGCTCATTGCACATACAACACACCTTCATTAAGAATCCAGGCCAGGGGCCAGAAATATATCTCAACAGTTAAGAGTCCTGGCAGATCTCCCACAGAACCTGAGTCTGATTCCCAACACCCACATGGCAGCTCACAATTATCTGTAACACCAGTTCCAGAGGATCTGATGCCTTCTTCTGGCCTCTGCATACAAGCAAGCAAAATACTCACACACATAAAATAAAAATATTTTTTTTTAAATCTAGGCCAGAGCCAGCAAGAGAGTTTATCAGGGGAAGTGCTTGCTGTGTAAGCCTAACAGCCTGTGTAGAGGTGGAAGGAGAGGACAGGGACAGGAGTTGTCTTCTGCTCTACACATACATGCTGCGGCACACACAGATAGTAATTACATGGTGAACATGGGAGCAGGGGAGATCTGAGCAGAGGGCGTTAGTTTCCAGCATCTCCATGCACTCTCCCCCCTGGGAAGAACAGTCTTTCAATATGAATCTTGAGCATTCGCGTTTTGTAATAAAAAGCTACCAGCTTACCCAGAGTCCCCTGCAAGACACAGCTGTTACACATCTCCATGCTGACAGTCAAGGCCCCCAGAAGCCTTAACAATCGCTGGGGAAGACCCTGCTGTCTTAGAGCCACATGTCTCCCTTATCACAGTCCTTCCTGGATGTCTGATCCTGGCCAAAATACTCCAACTGTCATTTTCCTTCATCCAGGTGACCTGTGTGCCCATCTGGAAGGGTCACAAAGATAACTTCCTCCCCTCACTCCCCTCCCACCCACCCAGGGCAACTACTCCCACGTCTGGATCATCTGCCTCTTAGAAAGACACTGAAGCTACAGTGTCCTGCTTCTCACCTCCCTGGATGACAGGAGAGGTCTTACAAAAGCATTTGTCATCCTAAGAAGATACTGAGCTCATGTCTGGAAATCAGGAACAGGAGCCATTGTTTGTTTGCTCATTCAGCAAAAACCTACGCATGTGCCTAATGTGCATCCTACTTTTAATGACCCAGGCATAGTTCCCACGCCAAAGCACAAAACCAATGGTTCTGAAGGGCTCCACTTGCTTCCTGTGTGACATGGGACCCCGGGAGGAAAATAGGCACCACACAGCTGTGGCTTGAGAGATGAAACAGTAAAGAAATTTAGGATCACAAAGAACTACTCTACGATTGTGCTGGCCCAGAAATACCGTATACGATCTACTGTGTGATCACTGAGCTTTTGTTTTATCGACCGCAAAATGAGGGCAATAGCATCTTACAAGGTTTGTGCTGGGATTAGATGGTCAGAAAAGACATATTGAACACTCCTTGCATGCAATAAGGTCTGGTTTTGCCGTTTTGTTTTTAAAGTGAGGAAATACCTCTGGATATACCTTTACCAGACCAGTTCACATGACAAGATTTGAAGGTAAAATGCAATGGGCCAGGGAGAAAGAACCCAGCTACACTCAGAAGCCGGTTTCCCTGCAGGAGGGCACGACAAAGAAAGAAGGCCATCTGCACACAGAGGAAAAAGCAGTATTCCACAAGACCAAGGTCCACGAAGGGTTCAAAAGCAAGGGCACTTGGCTAGGGGAAGGGGAGAGAATCTATCTTAAGCCAAGAACCACTGCACAGCTAGCTTAAGGGAATAAGAACATTCACACATAAAGGAGATCCAGAGACCTGACTAGTACTTCAGGGTCCTAGTATGGGGTCACACACTCATGGGCCAGAGCTCCCATGAAGCAGGAGAACGGTCTAGGCTGGTTGGAGAGTGTGCCATTACTGGAGTCTGAAACGGAAGCAAGCTTGGGTCAGGACAGACAAAGTAGCAGGGAAAGGGGAGGCAGCAGAAGCAGGGCTCGTTCAGCCATAGGGACACAAATTTTGAAAGACTTCCCTCCAAAAACCACCTCACTGCTCCTAGAAGGGAAAATGATCGTGATCCTTCCCATGGCCTACAACAGCAGTGCTGCCAGGCCAGCTTGGCACTGTTCTTCCCATAGCTCTGGCCTGCCATTTGCTCCCCGCTCTAAGACTATGCCATCCTCTCCGCTCTTGAGTTCACTCCCGAGCTTTCTGCAAGGCTGGTTTCCTCTCACCCTTAGAGCTCAGCTTCAAAGTGCCTTCTCGGAGAGGCCTTCCCTAGACACCCCTCCTCTAAAGCACACCATTCCTACGCATCTCTTCCACCAATGCATTCACTTCCATCCTACCACCTTCCCAAAAGAAGAAAGAACTCTGTCAACCGTTACTACCCCTGTTGTCTCGGCGCCTTACAGGATACTTGGCATAAGCAGTTTGTGAGTAAATACTTGTGAGAAAATGATGAATCCAGGCAGCCATCACTCCCTGAACTCTGCTGGAGTTGGCACTGGGGAGGTACTGGTAACTGCTCCTATGGGCCACACAGTCTACTGGAAAAGACGGAAATATGAACAAATAATTATGGCACACTGTGAGGTGTACTGACAGCGTAGGCAGGGTAAGCAGCGTCACTGAGTTTTGACAGATGAGTAGGAGCTTTCTCAGAAGGTAAGGAGGAGAGTGTTCTTCCAGGTAGCAAGGGTGATACATGAGGCATGTAAGGGCAAGACACAGTTGGCTAAAGTCAAAATGGTTGATGAGATTATATAAGAGCAATCAGCTACTTTCAATGAGTCAAAGCCTTCCACAGGCTCCCATAAGCAGGATCTGGACACTTCAATAAGAGGAAGCCGGGAATCACTACTTTGCAGCTCTTAATAGCAGCATATAAATAGAAAACAATCTCAGATGGAAACAGAGTGAAGATTTTTAAGAAAGATCTCATATCTCAGGGGTCAGGTAGGCTCCACTGATGAGTCATGGCTGGGACCAGGATGAATCCCATGTTGGGACCAGCTTCATGATATGTGCCCCTGCAATAGAGGCCTTAAAGGAACCACCTAGAAAAATGGATGAGTTCATACTTGGCAAACAGCAAGCGGATGGATCCTGGGAGCACCCTGGAAGCACCCTGGGAGCACCCTGGGAGCACCCTGGGAACCCACAGGGAGAGGCGCATGAGTCAAAGGTGTATCCTTGCCACCGCCCAGGAGGACTAGACAAGCTTCTCAGGGCAGAGCTGATGAGCTCACTGAATCTGAGGCAACAGCAGGACACGTGGGTACCGATGGGCTCCTGCCAGCTGTCACAAGGCCACTGTGAGGTATTATGGTGTCAGAGTACAAGGGACAGTAAGAGCCTCCCCCAACTCTGTGAACGCTACACCAATCTTACTAAATTAGGGAAGCCAGAAGTCTCTGGTCATACCCCTTCTGAACTGCTAACAGTCATTCTCCCCCTATCCTAACTGTCTAAGGTAGACTTTGTGTTAGCAAACAACCCACAATGGGGCAACCTTGCCTCTATAATCTTGGGTTTAAAAAATAAATAAATAAACTTCAATTCTCTTTTCACACTTGTGACAGTAAATGTGTATGGTCTTCCTACACTAAACTTTTAATTTCCTATGAATTGTCTGGGGGATTCTATATCATTCAACTCAGTTTTCACACCACATACCAGAATTGGTCTCAGATCCCACAAAGTGAGGACTCAGTCCCACAGGCTGTCCCCACCCCAGATGCCAGTGAAAAGTTCAGGCCTCTAGGCTGGCTGACTATAAAACAAGGGGTCCACAACCCCTTCCTCAGATTTGATAATCTGCTAAACTGGCTCTCAAAACTTAAGAATCATATTTTGCAAAGGGTTAAGCGTGGGGTTAAGAGTTCTAACCCACGGGGCTGGAGAGATGGCTCAGCAGGAAAGAATGTTTGCATTCTTGCAGAGGACCTGGGTTCAGTTCCAAGAACCTACACAGCAGCTCACAACCATCTGTAAATCCAGTTCCAGGATATCCAATGCCTGCTCTGACCTTAGCAGGTTCCTGCACATACATGGTGCACATATATATACTCAGGCACACACACACACGCACACACACACACACACACACACACACACACACACACTTAAAGTTAGTTTAAGCTCTCCAATCTCACGGTTAGTTCCTTTGGTCAGGTCACCAGGCTTCATTCTCTGGGAGTCACATCATCTGCATAAACTTAGATATGGTTGAAAGGGGTTTATCATAAATAATAAAAGTTACTTATTATTATTACTTATAATTTATATATTTTTTACTACACACACACACCTCTAGTCTTAGCTATACATCTAAAAGTTACTCTATACCTCAAGAGTTTTCGGAGCCTTGTGCTAGGAAACAGGGAAAATAATCACACATCATTTCTTATCATACAACATACAAATCTCAGGAGCAAGTGTGTTTACCTGACAACAGACAATGATGTGTCTTCCTTGCATTCTCTGTTCCTCCCCATAGGGCAGTGTTGTGTGACAAAATGTTCCCTGGGAAGATGAACGTAAATCTACTCACCCCAGACAGGGAACCCACAACAGACCGAAGTATAGAGTCCACCTTGAGGAATCACTGAATACTGGAGTTACTTACAGAAATATGGGTGAGGGGTTACTTCAGCAGCAAAAATGACTCAAGGACAGCTATATCAACAAGGTCCATGCCAACATGGGTGACTGCTCACAAAAGCTAGGAGCCTGGTCCACACTGCACAGACCACAGGCAGTTCAACAGGTTGGAGAATGTCCTTTCCATCTGACTCTGGTCTGA